TCATTTATTTTATTTTTACTCATTTTCATTTATTATTATATTAGTTTCTTTTATATTTTTTATCATTTATTTTTACGGTACTCTCCATTTCCCCCCTTCTAAAAATATGAAAATACAGAATTCATTCATTATTTGCTTATGATCAGTAGTTACAATTCCAATTTTTTTTTTAGTTGTTACCTTTAAAAAATCGATACCCCTATATAAACTTTCCCCCCTTCCAAACTTTAATTTCTCCAACCCTTTCTCTCCTTAAAATATGAAAATTTAAAAACCCTGATTCACGTCAATATTTATTTATTCCATATAGCTGTATTTCAAATTTTCATCTCTCATTACCACCATGCAAAAAATCATGACAAATTTTTAAATTTTGAAGTTTTTGTGTAATTTTTTAATTCTATTTTTTAAATTTTGTATTTTTTAACTTCTTAATTTTCTAATTTTTAATATTTCGAAATTTCGTAAATTTAAAATATTGAGAAATTCTAAAAATTTAAATTTAAAAATTTCGTCGCATTAATACTTTTAATTTTTTTACAGGGCGTACCTCAAAAGGATCTCAATACAAATGAAATAAATCCCGCTCAAAATATACCGCCAGTTCAACAACAAAATATTAACGGACATCTTTAAAACATGAATGACAAATCAATACATCCCATGACATGACTTTTTGTATTTGTTTTTGCATTTAATGATTTATTTTTTAAAAACCAATCAAAGCTCGAACATTTTTAATATCTTTTTGAATTGACTGAAAATTGTTGATTCCTATTCTACTCTTTTTAGTCTAGATTCATACAGGGTGGAGCAGCATATATGATGTACACTTTGTTTTTTATTTATTTGATATTTATAAAATTTTGGTTTTAAATCAGAAAAACGAAAAAATTAAAAATTTGCCCTTCTACGTATGTGTAAATGTAATTAATTTTGAATTTGTTAGTTAACTTAGGTTTATTTTGGAATTTATTTAAAAATATGTAACTTATTTTGAATTTATAGACAGTTATCAACAAGTTTTAATAATAAATTCATAAATTTAAATAAAAATTAATTATGTATTTTTAGTTTAATTTTTAAATGTTTATCTAATGATACAACTGAATTGTTTTGTATATATACGGGGTAAATATAAATGTACTAAATTTAGACGTGTTAAAATTGATTTTTTAAAAATTTTATAACTAATTTGATTTCTGTAATATTAAAATAAAAAAAAATTGATTTTGTTTTTATTTTTATTTAAAAAAACGAGGTTTCTGATTTTTTCAGTTTTTTCCACTTTTAGCTATGGACTATTTAAGGAAAATTATGTATGGAATAAAAATTATCGAAAATTTTTGAAATTTTAATATTTTGAAATTTCAAAGTTTAAAAATTCAAAAATTTTAAAATTTCAAAAATTCAAAAAATTTTAAAAATTCTAACTTCAAATATTTTGAATTTGACAGTTTGAAAAATATCCAAAATTTTCAGGGAAATTTAAGGAAAATTATGTATGGAATAAAAATTATCGAGAATTTTTAAAATTTTTGAAATTTTAATATTTTAAAATTTCAAAAATTCAAAAAATTTTTAACTTCAAATATTTTGAATTTGAAAGTTTGAAAAATATCAAAAATTTTCAGGGAAATTTAAGGAAAATTATGTATGGAATAAAAATTATCGAGAATTTTTAAAATTTTTGAAATTTCAAAAATTTCAAAGTTTGAAAATTCAAAAATTTTAAAATTTCAAAAAATTTTAAAAATTCTAACTTCAAATATTTTGAACTTAAAAATTTCAAAAATTCAAAAAATTTCAAAAATTTGTAACTTCAAATATTTTGAACTTGAAAATTTGAAAAATATCCAAAATTTTCAGGGAAATTTAAGGAAAATTATGTATGGAATAAAAATTATCGAGATTTTTGAAATTTTAATATTTTGAAATTTGGAATTTTTGAAATTTTTTTATTTTCAAAATTTTAAAGGTTAAAAATTCAAATATTTTAAAGTTTTAAAAATTTCCAAAATTTTCTGAGAAATTTAAAAAGATAGAAGGGAACCCAATAGAAGTGTGTTTGGCCTTTTGTTTGGGGGAAAACGGGAAATTTTTTTGTGGGTGGGGGTTGAGCGGGGAATTTGAAAACATTGTAAAGAATTGTAAAAATTATGAGGAAATGAGGAGGAATTTAGGAAAAATGTTAGGAATTATGAAAGGAATTTTATAAAATAGGTTTTAATGATTTCGAAAATTCAAAAATTTCATTTTTTTTTAAATATCTCGAATACGGTCTATTTTAGAGAAATTATGTATAGGACAAAAATTATAGAGAATAATACTACAAACAACTTTTATTTGAAGACTTTTTTTCTCAGACTCTAAATAACAAATATATTCTATCAAATAGAAAAACAGCCCTCTATAAAGTACCCCTCTAGATGTTCCGACTATGTTCAAAATTTAATCAGTTCACTACAAGATGGTTTAAAGATTAAATATAAAATTTGATGATTTTCCCTTTAACCGTTTCTGAATTATCTTCAAAATTCGAAAATTGCACATTTTCTCAAATATCTCGAATACGGTCCATTTTAGAGAAATTATGTATAAGACAATAATTATAGAGAATAATACTACAAACAACTTTTATTTGAAGAATGTTTTTCTCAGAGTCTAAATGACAGAGATATTCTATAAAATAGAAAAACAACCATCTATAAAGTACCCCTCTAGATGTTCCGACTATGCCCAAAATTTTATCAGTTCACTGCAGGATGAATTAAAGCTTAAATATAAAATTTGGTGATTTTCCCTTCAACAGTTTTTGAATTATTTTCAAAATTCGAAAATTGCACATTTTCTCAAATATCTCGAATACGGTCCATTTTAGAGAAATTATGTATAAGACAATAATTATAGAGAATAATACTACAAACAACTTTTATTTGAAGAATTTTTTTCTCAGAGTCTAAATGACAGATATTCTATAAAATAGAAAAACAACCATCTATAAAGTACCCCTCTAGATGTTCCGACTATGCCAAAAATTTTATCAGTTCACTGCAGGATGGATTAAAGCTTAAATATAAAATTTGGTGATTTTCCCTTTAACCGTTTTTGAATTATTTTCAAAATTCGAAAATTTCACATTTTCTCAAATATCTCGAATACGATCCATTTTAGAGAAATTATGTATAAGACAATAATTATAGAGAATAATACTACAAACAACTTTTATTTGAAGAATTTTTTTTTCAGACTCTAAATAACTGATATATTATATAAAATAGAAAAACAACCCTCTATAAAGTACCCTTATAGATGTTCCGACTATGTCCAAAATTTTATGAGTTCACTGCAGGATGAATTAAAGCTTAAGTTTAAAATCTGGTGTTTTAATCTTTATTCGTTTTTGAATTATCTTCAAAATTCGAAAATTGCACATTTTCTCAAATATCTCGAATACGGTCCATTTTAGAGAAATTATGTATAAGACAATAATTATAGAGAATAATACTATAAACAAGTTTTATTTGAAGAATTTTTTTCTCAGAGTCTAAATGACAGATATTCTATAAAATAGAAAAACAACCATCTATAAAGTACCCCTCTAGATGTTTCGACTATGCCCAAAATTTTATCAGTTCACTGCAGGATGGATTAAACCTTAAATATAAAATTTGGTGATTTTCCCTTTAACCGTTTTTGAATTATTTTCAAAATTCGAAAATTGCACATTTTCTCAAATATCTCGAATACGGTCCATTTTAGAGAAATTATGTATAAGACAATAATTATAGAGAATAATACTACAAACAACTTTTATTTGAAGAATTTTTTTCTCAGAGTCTAAATGACAGATATTCTATAAAATAGAAAAACAACCATCTATAAAGTACCCCTCTAGATGTTCCGACTATGCCAAAAATTTTATCAGTTCACTGCAGGATGGATTAAAGCTTAAATATAAAATTTGGTGATTTTCCCTTTAACCGTTTTTGAATTATTTTCAAAATTCGAAAATTTCACATTTTCTCAAATATCTCGAATACGATCCATTTTAGAGAAATTATGTATAAGACAATAATTATAGAGAATAATACTACAAACAACTTTTATTTGAAGAATTTTTTTTTCAGACTCTAAATAACTGATATATTATATAAAATAGAAAAACAACCCTCTATAAAGTACCCTTATAGATGTTCCGACTATGTCCAAAATTTTATGAGTTCACTGCAGGATGAATTAAAGCTTAAGTTTAAAATCTGGTGTTTTAATCTTTATTCGTTTTTGAATTATCTTCAAAATTCGAAAATTGCACATTTTCTCAAATATCTCGAATACGGTCCATTTTAGAGAAATTATGTATAAGACAATAATTATAGAGAATAATACTATAAACAAGTTTTATTTGAAGAATTTTTTTCTCAGAGTCTAAATGACAGATATTCTATAAAATAGAAAAACAACCATCTATAAAGTACCCCTCTAGATGTTTCGACTATGCCCAAAATTTTATCAGTTCACTGCAGGATGGATTAAACCTTAAATATAAAATTTGGTGATTTTCCCTTTAACCGTTTTTGAATTATTTTCAAAATTCGAAAATTGCACATTTTCTCAAATATCTCGAATACGGTCCATTTTAGAGAAATTATGTATAAGACAATAATTATAGAGAATAATACTACACACAACTTTTATTTGAAGAATTTTTTTCTCAGACTCTAAATAACTGATACATTATATAAAATAGAAAAACAACCCCCTATAAAGCGCCAGTCTGTGGACATTGTCATTACTTTTTCGTCAAATTTTGAAATCTATAGATCAATTGATGCGGAAATGGCGCATGTCGCTAGGCATTGCAAACTATCTGCTCGTTAGAAATGACAGGCACATGATAGATTATAATATGGCAACACTGTGCGTCTTTAGGTTTGATAGGGTCAATGATATAGATAGTTATATAGATTGATCATCCATGTTTTTAAAAATGAACATGTGTCCAGATTACATTTTTTATATCATTATTAATACATTAATATTTGTTTATTAAAAAATGAGAATGTGCATAACATATTTATTTACTTTAATTCCTATATACCAATTATACATATAAATTATTACTTTCTATATTATCCTTAAAACTATATTGACGTAAATATACTGGATACTGTTTAATCTTTTCTTCGACCGTTTTTAATACATTGTCATCGTAATTTTCAAATTGGTGTACCAACTTAACTCTATTTTGAATCCTATTGTAATTTTCATTATAATTTCTCGGACCTTCTCTCAAGTGATACGGAAGTTGTTTCGTACCATGAAGAACCAATGTTATATCACCAATTGTACCAATGTTTTGTTCAAATTTCGTCTGAAAATAAAGAAACATTTTTTTTTTAATGTCTTTAACAGTATAAAATAATATATTACTTGGTCTGATATATGTATTTTCCAAATGCCTTCTGCTATTTCTCCCCAGGTTTTCATGGACATAAACGTCCAGTTTTGGAATCCATGGGTACTTCGATCTAATTTTCGTGGGGATAATAAATTTACAAATGTACCTAAAATATTTAAAAAAAAGAAAATACAATTAACAGAGCTAATCTATATATATATATATATATATATATATATATATATAGCGTCCGCGAAGCGAAGGTACTGCGATCTGTAGCTAAGAAGTGTCATTAGGAAGGATTTAGTTGAAAACTACTGCAAGGAAAGCATTTCGATATAGGTAATATAGAAGCTTTATCTTTCCCTTACCTGATGGGGAAATTAAACGTATTTGTAGAGCACCTCTAAAAGTATAGTTAATGTTCGTTTGCACTTCTACGTGTTCAATATATCTCAGTTCGTTTCTTCTTCCTTTGCAACCATCCGAAGGGATATTGATATGTACTGCTTGGCTCACTGATATAGTTGCATTTTCACTAAAATATTTCATTTGTTATGTAACCAAAATAAAATACAAGAGAGAAAAGCCTCAAAGACTTTATCACAGCAAAGTTTAACGTCGAGCAATATTATCCAAGGGCGTAGTTGTTTTCGACAGTCAACTTTACTGTAACACAATCTTTCAGATTTTTTTCTTGGTATGACATTTGTATTTTAGAAAGGTTTAAGTACTTACTGTACCGTAACTTGACAGGATGTTCGTTCTGGTACCGTCACCCATGAAATAGCTGTTGAAACCAAGCCAAAAGCATTCATTAAACCAAATCCGAATCTTTCATTGAACCAAAATCCTGCGCCATTTTGTTGCCATCCGTCATTGTTAACTAGTGGAGAAAGTTCCGATGTCCATACTATTAGATGTTGAATGTCCCTCCATGTTAAATTTCCACTATAAAAAAGGGGATATTAACAACGCGTTAGGGTGGAAATGGACTGACCATAATGAGAGGTATCTGTATATATATATATATATATATATATATATATATATATATATATATAGCAACCTAGAAAAAATAATTGTGTTTTATCGAAACTTACTTTACTTCTAGTGCTAAAGCAATAATTCCAGCAGCCAACGGCGCAGATGCGGACGTTCCAGTGTGTTTGGTAGTACACTCATTATGTACATCAGTTGTTGACTGAAATCAAAAAAGAAACATTCTATATGTCGTACATTTCCGGGATTTAACTTTTTGACAATCATCAGCAAAAAAATCCTGTCGATCTAACGGCACAACTATGCGATTGCTTATAGGTACAATGACGCAAGCGCATTACGAAATATTTTGAGAAAATTCATCAAAACTTACACAACTAGGCAATCCAAATCAATTGATTTTACATGGTGGATCTAAGTATTATGAGGATACCATAATCCTTTTATCTTATATATTTTATATATGGGTCATTCCATGTCAAATCGTCGCCGTCAGAATTGGCTCAATGTTTTTACGACGTACAAAAATTTAATCAGCGACCCCCAAAATCCTCGAATACCAAGTTTCAAGCAAATCTAGCTATCTAGCAATCTACACGTGGCGCCATCTACGAATTTTGAAAATCTGACCTTGGATTCGTCATCAGCAAACCCCCCAAGTACCAAGTTTCACGGTAACCCGCCAATTCTCAGTTTGCTTCTGCACATTGCGTCTTATAGTGGCGCCATCTACAAATTTCGCCAATCTGACCTTGGATTCGTGATCAGCGGTCCGGATAACCCCTAAGTACCAAGTTTCGTCATAATCCGTTGATTAAATTCTCCGCGCCACTCGAATATCAATAAAATTTCATATCAGCGAGGTCAGATTTGACAGTATCACTGTCAAAGGATCACTGATCACCAAAAACACCACACGGCATTCGATTCTACGTTAAAAGATCTACAATTTGAATTTTTGTACGTCGCAAAAGCATTAAGCCAATTCTGACGGCGGCCATTTTCGATTTGACATGGAATGGACCCATATATATATATATATATATATATATATATATATATATATATATATATATATATATATATATATATATATATATATATATATATATATATATATATATATATATATATATATAACCTGCGTCCGATATACGGAAGCATCTTTGCAAAGGACGCGATAATGATAGATTTCTAGCTATTAAATGACGCAGTATTGATAGAAAGATGTATATATTATATATATATATATGAATACATACAATCATTTGATCCTTGTAAGCCCCAGAAGAGTAAGTGACAGCTAGTATAGATGCGCAAGCTTCTCCATACCATGGGAATTCGCCTTTCTGGGAAGCGCTGCCTACAGATATAGTGTAAGGACTTGCTAAATAACCATCGCAATTGCAATTATCGTTATTATTTCCACCATTACCAGATGCCCAAACATAAATGGTTCCTTTGCCATTTCTACCCTAAAATGTAAAGAATTCTAGAACGAGACCATAATACGTGGTTATAGATATTACTTCTTTAATTCCTCGTTCTATAGCTTCTCTGGCCAACCGTCCAGGACCGTCTACTGTTTTCCCATCGTCATTTGGTCCCCATGAGGCACTGTAGATATCAACAAGGTTTTGAGCATAACTCAAAGCAGTACCTTCAATTCTGTCTGTTACCAGACCATCCAACATTCTTACACCTAAAATAATATTTTCTCAGTAAATTATTGCACGTTTGGAATATTATACCTAATTCTCAACAATAGAAGCTAATAATGTAGAAAAATGTTTTACCCACCACCAATTCTTGCTCCAAAAGCTATCCCAACGCCACATTTTCGGTTATTAGCTGTCATGGCGACTTCTCCAGCACACCTAGTTCCGTGATTGTTGGATTTTGAAGATACCAAATTTGGAAATGGATCATTATCATCTTCATTGCAGTCCCAACTAATTTCGGGATCCTATGATAATGATAATTTGATCAGTGAAAATATCAAATCCAAAATTTTAGAAGCAAAATATTCCATATTATTAGACTGCACTCCTGACTCTAGTCACCAAGAACAAATTTCAGTTTGTATTAGATTTGTTAATTTAAGGAGTATCCTTAGAATGGGATATAGAAAAAAATCTCTTAAGATTTGCTGTAGTTATACTTACATAATTTTCATTTAGATCATCATGGGTATATTCAATTCCATCATCAAGAATACAAATTCTTATACCCTTCCCAGTAATTCCCATTAAATAAACAGGAATAACATTCAGATCTAATTTGGGAAGATCTAATCTTGATCTAGTATCTCTCTGGAAAACGGTTATATCTTAACGAATCTATTTTGAAAATACCATACAAGATGGGTCACTATATGTATATATGTGTGTGTGTTTAGGAAGCCTAAATCGGGCTTCGTAAGTACCAAGTGGGCTTCGTATCTCTGCTCAAATGTAATGTTTTGGGCTTTGTAATGTCTGATTACATGTATACATATACATTTTTTTAATGTATGTTCAGCGATAATTCTTTACTACGTAATAGAAAGAGAGCACTATTTAAATTTGGTCGAGAAATCATCAATCTCTTAATTTTTTATGTATTTTTAGCCATAATTCTATCTGAAAATCTGAATGATAAAGATACACATTTTCTGCTTACTGTTTCGGTTTATAAACTAACTGTATTTTTTTTGTTTCAGGTATTATTTTAATCACCTGTATATTTGGTGAGTACTTACATATTATTTTACAATGTTAATGGTTGTATAATTTTGCTCAAGTAAATTATATTTTTCTACGATCACTATCCAACATTTTTGGATAAAAATCTTTTATTGAAAATGTTTTGTCAGCTGTCAAATGGGCGCCAAATTCGCTAATACTATTTCTAAATGTGTTACTAATGAATTATCTTAAAAAATATCACTGACTCTATCTTACTTGCTAGATTTGTTTATATGTCACTCAATATAATACAAAATATGTCCCTAGTCTATAAATTGTTATATTTATTCTTACTAAATACCACTGTTGACTCCATAGTTCATCATTAAATATTTTATCAGTTGTAATAGTCTTCCTTTTCTGCTCATATACATTTGTATCAATTCTTTTTACTCTCTCTTTGGGTATATCCTCAATGGAAATAAAGTCTCTCTTTTGGCGTGATTTTGCTTGTTGTTCTTCAGCCCATACAATCTTAAACAAAATTTCCAAAAAATTACAACGAACTATTCTAATTTTTGAAAGTTTTGGTGCCAATTATATATATATATATATATATATATATATATATATATATATATATATATATATATATACGGACGCTAAAATACGATTCATTGATTTGATATATGCCAATTGTCATAGATTGTGACAGTGCTGATTCGATTTTACAACTTAAGAAGGAATAACATGTCTGAAAGTTTATAATTTGAATAAGAAATGTCACCAAAATAAAACAAAGCCGATTTTATTATACCCAAGAATTAAAATGTCTGACTTAACTAAAAAATTAAGTACTTACTCTTCGATCGTTCATAAGCCTTGATGAAAACATCCCTCGCTTGTGGAAATTTTCATATATATTTTTTAGAGGCACTAATATGTATGTATCTTTAAATCCAACTACCTGTAATCAATAAACAATAATAAGAATGATGATTGGTCAAGTAGTGTATACAATTTACTATATATCACATAAAATACAAGCAAACGTTTCCATTAGGAAAACAACTACTCCCTTGGACCTTATTAGGACTCATCAGCAAGATGACGTGCATAAAATTTTATACCAAATTCAGTTTACAACCAATGGATGCTTTAAACATTAATAATATCTTTACTTTCAATAAAAGTGACATATTTTGATAAACGTCAATTTAATAAAGGACCTAATTTAGATATTACTTATCAGATATTATTAAAATATTTTTATTATCGTTATCGCGTTAATACATCATAGAAACGAGAAGCAATAGACTGATTTCAAGTGCTTGTATTAGCCAAAATAAACAAATGTATATATTTGATAGATACTCGAAAAACCGATAGCTTCTGAAAATTCACAATGGTATAAATATTTTATTTTGTTAAAAAAATATATATGCAGTGATCGACAAAATGATTTTTTTAAGTAAGCCACTAAAAAAGTCAATGTCAGTTTGGATTTAATTCAGAGGCATGTGTATACTGAAGAAAAGTAATAAAAAAAAATATTGGTACAACGAAAAAAATTAATTGGTTATTTGGAATAAGCTGAAATGACAAAACTGTCAATTTAAAGAGACCTTCAAAAAGGTCAATTCTATTAAAAATTAAAATCCGAAATGAACTATTAAAATTTTCAAAATGATTCAAAGTATCTCGAAGACGACATCGATGTAGATATATGAAACGTTAATCAATCACCAAGAACACGATTCTTGATATATTAACAAAACATTTTGGTGAGACCTTTAAAAATGTCTCACCAAAGTTTATAAATCTATTATTTTGAAAATAGGAACGAAACAAAGGTTCCAATATCAACTTTAACAAGTAGGAATTTAACTTTGCTACTCTCTATCTTTAATAGTTGTTGGGATTAAAGAATTTTGTTTGTAGAATAATGATTCTACACTCTTTATAAATGTGTTCTGAAATTTTAAAGTTTATAAATCTATTATTTTTGGAATTAGGGGCGAAACAAAGGTTCCAATATCAACTTTAACAAGTAGGAATTTAACTTTGATACACTCTATCTTTAATAGCTGTTGGAATTGAAGAATTTTGTTTGTAAAATAATGATTCTACACTCTTTATAAATGTGTTCTGAAATTTTGAAGTTTATAAATCTATTAGTTTTGGAATAAGGGACGAAAAAAAGGTTCCAATATCAACTTTAATAAATAGAAATTTAAGTTTGATACTCTCTATCTTTAATAGCTGTTGGAATTGAAGAATTTTGTTTGTAAAATAATGATTCTACACTCTTTGTAAATGTGATCTGAAAGTTTGAAGTTTATAAATCTATTAGTTTTGGAATTAGGGACGAAACAAAGGTTCCAATATCAACTGTAACAAGTAGGAATTTAACTTTGCTACTCTCTATCTTTAATAGCTATTGGAATTGAAGAATTTTGTTTGTAGAATAATGATTCTACACTCTTTATAAATGTGTTCTGAAATTTTGAAGTTTAAAAATCTATTAGTTTTGGAATTAGGGACGAAACAAAGGTTCCAATATCAACTTTAACAAGTAGGAATTTAACTTTGCTACTCTTTATTTTTAATAGCTGTTGGAATTAAAGAATTTTGTTTATAGAATAATGATTCTACACTCTTTATAAATGTGTTCTGAAATTTTGAAGTTTATAAATCTATTAGTTTTGGAATAAGGGACGAAAAAAAGGTTCCAATATCAACTTTAATAAATAGAAATTTAAGTTTGATACTCTCTATCTTTAATAGCTGTTGGAATTGAAGAATTTTGTTTGTAAAATAATGATTCTACACTCTTTATAAATGTGATCTGAAAGTTTGAAGTTTATAAATCTATTAGTTTTGGAATTAGGGACGAAACAAAGGTTCCAATATCAACTTTAACAAGTAGGAATTTAACTTTGCTACTCTCTATCTTTAATAGCTATTGGAATTGAAGAATTTTGTTTGTAGAATAATGATTCTACACTCTTTATAAATGTGTTCTGAAATTTTGAAGTTTATAAATCTATTAGTTTTGGAATTAGGGACGAAACAAAGGTTACAATATCAACTTTAACAAGTAGGAATTTAACTTTGCTACTCTCTATCTTTAATAGCTGTTAGAATTGAAGAATTTTGTTTGTAAAATAATGATTCTACTCTCTTTATAAATGTGTTCTGAAATTTTGAAGTTTATAAATCTATTAGTTTTGGAATTAGGGACGAAACAAAGGTTCCAATATCAACTTTAACAAGTAGGAATTTAACTTTGCTACTCTCTATCTTTAATAGCTATTGGAATTGAAGAATTTTGTTTATAGAATAATGATTCTACACTCCTTATAAATGTTTTCTGAAATTTTTAAGTTTATAAATCTATCAGTTTTGGAATAAGGGACGAAACAAAGGTTCTAATATCAACTTTAACAAGTAGGAATTTAACTTTAATACTCTTTATCTTTAATAATTATTGGAATTTAAGAATTTTGTTTGTAGAATAATGATTCTACACTCTTTATAAATGTGTTGTGAAATTTTGAAGTTTATAGATCTATTAGTTTTGGAATTAGGGACGAAACAAAGGTTCCAATATCAATTTTAACAAGTAGGAATTTAACTTTGCTACTCTCTATCTTTAATAGCTGTTGGAATTGAAGAATTTTGTTTGTAGAATAATGATTTTACACTCTTTATAAATGTGTTCTCAAATTTTGAAGTTTAAAAATCTATTAGTTTTGGAATTAGGGACGAAACAAAGGTTCCAATATCAACTTTAACAAGTAGGAATTTAACTTTGCTACTCTTTATTTTTAATAGCTGTTGGAATTAAAGAATTTTGTTTATAGAATAATGATTCTATACTCTTTATAAATGTGTTCTGAAATTTTGAAGTTTATAAATCTATTAGTTTTGGAATAAGGGACGAAAAAAAGGTTCCAATATCAACTTTAATAAATAGAAATTTAAGTTTGATACTCTCTATCTTTAATAGCTGTTGGAATTGAAGAATTTTGTTTGTAAAATAATGATTCTACACTCTTTATAAATGTGATCTGAAAGTTTGAAGTTTATAAATCTATTAGTTTTGGAATTAGGGACGAAACAAAGGTTCCAATATCAACTTTAACAAGTAGGAATTTAACTTTGCTACTCTCTATCTTTAATAGCTATTGGAATTGAAGAATTTTGTTTGTAGAATAATGATTCTACACTCTTTATAAATGTGTTCTGAAATTTTGAAGTTTATAAATCTATTAGTTTTGGACGAAACAAAGGTTCCAATATCAACTTTAACAAGTAGGAATTTAATTTTGCTACTCTCTATCTTTAATAGCTGTTAGAATTGAAGAATTTTGTTTGTAAAATAATGATTCTACTCTCTTTATAAATGTGTTTTGAAATTTTGAAGTTTATAAATCTATTAGTTTTGGAATTAGGGACGAAACAAAGGTTCCAATATCAACTTTAACAAGTAGGAATTTAACTTTGCTACTCTCTATCTTTAATAGCTGTTGGAATTGAAGAATTTTGTTTGTAGAATAATGATTTTACACTCTTAATAAATGTGTTCTGAAATTTTGAAGTTTATAAATCTATTAGTTTTGGAATTAGGGCCGAAACAAAGGTTTCAATATTAACAAATAGGAATTTAACTTTAATACTCTCTATCTTTAACAGCTGATGGAATTTAAGAATTTTGTTTGTAGAATAATGATTTTACACTCTTTATAAATGTGTTTTAAAATTTTGAAGTTTATAAATCTATTAGTTTTGGAATTAGGGACGAAACAAAGGTTCCAATATCAACTTTAACAAGTAGGAATTTAACTTTGCTACTCTCTATCTTTAATAGCTGTTGGAATTAAAGATTTTTGTTTGTAGAATAATGATTCTACACTCTTTATAAATGTGTTCTGAAATTTTGAAGTTTATAAATCTATTAGTTTTGGAATTAGGGACGAAACATAGGTTCCAATATCAACTTTAACAAATAGGAATTTAAGTTTGATACTCTTTATCTTTAACAGCTGACAATTCTTGAAATATTAACGAGAAATTTTTGCAGAAAGATCCATTCTATTAAAAATCGAAATTTGATATAAATAGGGCCACTATTTAAATTTGCAGAATGATTCAAAATATCCTGAAGGCGACATCGATATTTAAAATTTAAAAAAGAAAATAAACTTACCGGCCCTTTATAATAATGACCGTGTTCTTCAGCTAACAATTGCGCAACTAGAGGACCACCAATAATTCGAACTACGGTTTCATTACCACCACTCGTACGATAATTCCAGCTTATTAAAATAATTAACAAAAAAAAATTCATTTCAGCTCACTCTACTTTAAGTTGCAACGCGCGTTGAAGAGTAAAAAGATTTTTATTCCTGATTTTTCACCTACCAGTTCGGTTTGAGATAAGAATTCAGTAGATTCATGATTTAGATAGAGATATTCAATTCCCCGCTCTGAAAAACAAGGGCGTGGATAAGGGGGTAAAAGGGATATATGGAAAAATGTATATAAAAGATGAGTCAACGAAAACACAAAATTGTTCAAATTTACGGTTTTGAATGACATTAAAAAGGGGTAACCCTTTAAACTTTGCTTTCTTTAAGACAGTGTGGATTTTTTTTTGGTAAAAATTAAATAGCATGGGGTTTTAGAAAGTTCTGGTGTATTCTACTCACTTCGAGATTGCAGTAGTTGGAGTATAAAAAGAACTAGCGGTGTAACCGCGAGTCAGTCTGTTTAAGGAAGGAAAAGTAAATAAAATTGTCGTAAATTAAAGTAGCTTTTGGAGATCCTTGATAGCCTTATCTCTAGTTTTTCTTTAAGTGCATAAACAAATGACAAGAGCTTATGTTTGTAAGTGTTAAATAAACGGATAAAAAGTGTTGATTTTTATTTACAACTATAATAAGAACCTATTAAAAAAATTAAGAGCAATAGAACATATTTCAACACATATTTTTGATACCTGATAATCAATAAACAATATATTTTTTTGGAGTGGCAACACAACTATTATTTTGTTACAAATATTTATATTATAATCCTTTAAAAATAATATATTTTGATTTAATTGTTGAATTTATACATGAGGAATTTTCAGTTTCAAGTTTCAGTAAATATTATACAATCAAAAGATGTTGCTTGTATAATTTTCTTATGACCTCCTTTTAAATATAAAAACTGACTACGCCACTGATCCATGTTCATTGAAGAAGTCGATTAGAGGAATACAATTAAATCTGTTTGTGTCGGCATTAGAGGCTTTAGAGATTGACATTTTTGTTCGAAATTGCTTTGGTACTAATTTATTACCCATGTGATCCAGATTAACCGTATTTCTCTACGAATTCTGAGCTGTTTATGATATATTTAAACGGTGCAATAAAATAAAAAATAAAATATTCATGACGGAGAAAAAAATGTAAATTCCATCAGCTGTTAAAGATAAAGAGTGTTAAAGTTAAATTCCTATTGGTTAAAGTTAATATTAAAACCTTTGTTTCGTCCCTAATTCCAAAACTAATAGATTTATGAACTTCAAAATTTCATAAAACATTTATAAAGAGTGTAAAATCATTATTCTACAAACAAAATTCTTCAATTCCAACAGTTATTAAAGATAGAGAGTAGCAAAGTTAAATTCTTACTTGTTAAAGTTGATATTGGAACCCTTGTTTCGTCCCTAATTCCAAAACTAATAGATTTATAAACTTCAAAATTTCAGAACACATTTATAAAGAGTGTAGAAACATTATTCTGCAAACAAAATTTTTCAATTCTAACAGATCTTAAAGATAGAGAGTATCAAAATTAAATTCCTATTTGTTACAGTTGATATTGGAACCTTTGTTTCGTTTTTATTTCCAAAATAATGGATTTAAAAACTTCAAAATTTCAGAACACATTTATAAAGAGTGTAGAATCATTATTTTACAAACAAAATTCTTCAATTCTAACAGCTATTAAAGATAGAGAGTAGCAAAGTTAAATTCTTACTTGTTAAAGTTGATATTGGAACCCTTGTTTCGTCCCTAATTCCAAAACTAATAGATTTATAAACTTCAAAATTTCATAAAACATTTATAAAGAGTGTAGAATCATTATTTTACAAACAAAATTCTTCAATTCCAACAGTTATTAAAGATAGAGAGTAGCAAAGTTAAATTCTTACTTGTTAAAGTTGATATTGGAACCCTTGTTTCGTCCCTAATTCCAAAACTAATAGATTTATAAACTTAAAAATTTCAGAACACATTTATAAAGAGTGTAGAATCATTATTCTACAAATAAAATTCTTCAATTTCAATAGCTATTAAAGTTAGAGAGTAGCAAAGTTAAATTCCTACTTGCTAAAGTTGATATTGGAACCCTTGTTTCGTCCCTAATTCCAAAACTAATAGATTTATAAACTTAAAAATTTCAGAACACATTTATAAAGAGTGTAGAATCATTATTCTACAAATAAAATTGTTCAATTTCAACAGCTATTAAAGATAGAGAGTAGCAAAGTTAAATTCCTACTTGCTTAAGTTGATATTGGAACCCTTGTTTCGTCCCTAATTCCAAAACTAATAGTTTTATGAACTTACAAATTTCAAAACACATTTATAGAGAGTGTAGAATCATTATTCTACAAATAAAATTCTTCAATTTCAACAGCTATTAAAGATATAGAGTAGCAAAGTTAAATTCCTACTTGTTAAAGTTGATATTGGAACCTTTGCTTCGTCCCTAATTCCAAAAATAATAGATCTCCAACATTTTTTTTTAAATTTACCCAAGTCTTCATATTACTGTTATCTAAAATTTACGTTTCGTGTCTCTTCATTAGCAAAGACAAGTGTTGCCAATCAGATACTCCATTTGTATCAAAAAAGTGTTAGAGAAAATAAGCCAAGTCCATTTGCTAGACTTACAAAGTATTTGCACGAAAACTTTTTCAAAATTTTAACAAAAAACAAAAATTAGGTCGTGTGATACATCGTTGGAAAGGTATTTGAATTACCTTTTTAACGAGCTACATCTCACCGATCTACAATAAGTGGTCTTGAAGATATTTTAATTTTTGTGAAGCTGTGTTGGACCAAAATTGGTAAATTTTTCGATTTTTGAAAATTAATAATAAAAAAAACTACTGATCAGAAAAAAATATATTTTGTGTATCAAATTTTATAAAAATTGATGTTAAACGTTATTTTTATGATTAGTCTTTCGTTGTATCAAAATTTTCAAGTCTTATTTCGTTTTTTTTATATAAAAAAGCAATAAAAAAATTGTTAATTTATCATAAAAGTCATAAATAACATGTATACCTTTTTATACTCAGCATAAAAAGAAAACGCAATACATCTACATGCCTTTTATGGTATAAATTGGTAGCAAACCAGGTCAATATAACCATTCTTCCAACATTACATTTTTTCATCATTGTTTTGCAAGAAACACCATAATCATGTTGTTACCTATTTGTGTTCTATTTTGTTTATTATTAAGTATTTATGTGTACAAAAAAAGAAAATTATATTGGTTGTCTTGGATATTAAACGGACCCTTAGCTCTGCCATTAATTGGAAATGGATTAAGTTTTCTTTGTAATAATGAAGGTAAGAAATTCTTCCTTTAAAACCTCTAAAACAATTATGAATTATTTATATAGATAATTTTATCAAAGAATCATTCGTTTATTTAAAAAATAACAAAAAATACTGTACGCCAACTCTATTCTTCATTCGTCACAGTCATCTTGTTGTTTTTAGGTTACAATTTAATAAATTCGTGGATTTGTTGGAGCAGCTCGGAGGGGGGGGGGGGGTAATTACCCTATTACCCCCCTTGTATCCGCGCCTGGTGTAATACTATTCTTTTTCTGCAGCTGTTCTTTACTCAAACTAAATTTTAAAACATTTCTTATAGGTTTTGTTACCTTTATAACCGATTTTATTGTATTTTCTCCATAACTTTTGAATCACTCGGTATAGTTTTTTGATATTTGGCATAGATAATCTACAACTATAGGACAATTTATCGGTATGTTAAAAAATTTCAAAATCCACGTCTGGCTTAACAAAAATTATTAAAATTTGGTCCTATACATCAAATTTTTAAAAATAAATTTCAAATTTGGAAAGAGGATAAAAAAACTGATTACAATCATGCCATTTTAATACCAAAATTTTAATAAATAATTCTACATTAAGAGAATTTTAGTCTGCTTGAAGTAACATTCACAAAAACCAATAAAAATTACAACTACAGATCCGTACTGTCTTATTTTTGTTTAAAAAGGGGTATTTATTTCTAGATCTGCTTGATAGGGCTGTAGAAATTTGCAATAGCTATCCAAGCCCTTTTAGACTCTGGTTCGGTCCAAAATTTGCAATGTTCATAACAGACGCTGATCAAGTGCAGGTAACATTTTTTTTATATACAATTAGGATTATTTATTTAAAACTATCTGTTTTTTTAGAAAATAATGTCTTCTTATAATTTCATTACCAAAGATCCAGATCTGTATAAATTTTTAGAACCTTTTGATGGTAAAGGACTAATAACCTCGTCAGGTAAAATCTAAAATATTACATGTTGACCAAATTTGTATGGGACCATTCCTGTAAAAAAAGAATCAAAAATCATACAATTTACCACTTTGTACATACATAAAAAAGGATTTTCTCAATGTGAAATGTTCCAAATACGATGTCTAACAAAAAAAAAAGAATCATTTAAATCGGACGTGTTAAAGAATTATCGCTGACCATACATACAAAAGTCGGATAAAAATGTTTAAAATTATGTATTGGGGGGGTGGGTGGCTCAGTGGTAGAGTCTCTGCCTGTGGATCCAAGGGTCCCAGGTTCGAATCCCACCGTTGGCCGGGATTTTTGTATTTAATTTAATTATTTAAAATTAATTCTGATGCCTTGGTAGGATTCCCCACTCGACCATTCCCTGTTGGGTTCTAATTAACAGTGCTGTTCCTGAAGTGGCGCTGGGAAACAGTAACAAAGTCTACACACAACACACATGATTGAGAAATTTAAAACACAAACTGAGACTGGCATATTAGATTTATATACCTAGGCCATAAAACGAAAAAAAAAATCTGATGTGTCCAACACATGACTTTCCTATCTAGTTATATAAATATTTAGAGGATAAACTAAATATATACATTGTCCACATACATCTACCTCGAAACATTTTTCTATATTCATGGAAACAAAGCTTAAGTTTAAAATTTGGTGTTTTTCTGTGTATCGGTTCATGAGTTATGCGTTATACAGACACACACACACACACACACACACACACACACACACACACACACACACACACACACACAGACACACACAGACACACACACAGACACACACACAGACATCATCGCG